CCCCTCCATCCCAGCTTTCTTTTACTGTTTCTTATCACACAGACATAGTCAAACTGATAAATTGTGTGTGCTTCGTAGGTACGGCCCCATCCTTTTTCTTGCCGTGAGGTGCAGACAGCCTAACATTCCTTCCCTTGATGTTTCTTGGATGGTCAGAGGCATATAAGCTCTCTGACTGTTCACTTCCCTGGTTTTTCCGAGATCGTCCTTCAAATAGTATTCGCTGCGCCCCTGAATAAATTGGCCCAGGTGGTAGAAGATGCTAACGGAGGCGAAATTACTAATAGTTTCTTTTGAGGACTGCTTAAAAACTTCCTTGTTTCAGTTAAATTATCAGCATACTCTTTAAAGTGAAGGTATTTTAATATTTTGATTAGCTATTTCCCTTCGAGACGGATTGGTACCCAAGTAATAATAGGATTTGGCCACACAGGTGCAATCCAGTACCATTACTTTGAAGAAAACTACGGATTTCTCGTCGTCACAGTTTGCTTTTTGATTTACTTTCTGACTTCTATATTAGTATAAAATATGAGGAGGTATTTTTGCACATTTGTTTGCCAATAGCACCGCTAAAATAAGGATATCTGTGATATTCTTCATGATATCAATATTTTTTTAATTTTTGTTTTTCTCTCCTCTCTTCATCTGCACCATATTGCGTGTTTCTAATACTTCTGCTAAATCCGTCACACTGACGAAGTCCAGTTGCACCACTGAATGGTAATGTATGCGACTTGATGGACCGAAACATTCCAATTCGGGTTTTTATTTTAAATTTTAATTATTACTTCGCTTTTAGTTACAACCTTTTTCATAAATTCATAAAATGCTCAGGCACAGCGAATTTCAGGAAGTGCAAGATTGCGATTGCGAGATGCCATCTCCATCCAGCCCATTGGAGTATCGGCCAACACCGCATCTCGTCCTTTTCATCCTTTTTTTCGTCTTCCCACTCATCTACCTATGCAGTCGTGTGGCCCTCACGCTATGCTGCATCTTGGCATGTGCACTGAAAATGGTATTCGCGCGTTTAATACATTTGTTGTACGATTTTGACGTGAAACCATCAGCAACTGCACGACGGCGGCCAACGCCAGTGAAAGTGGAAGCACCATCACAGACTATTCGAAGTGCTATTCGTGAAGAAACCCTCGTTGAAACACAACCCTCCGAAGAAGAAGATGAAGAGGAAGAGGCTAGTTCGTTCATCTATTTCGATGCTATGATTTGGATGCTTTGTCTTTTTTATCGCTATCGATTATTTAGTCAAAATTGCTCCAGCGTAAGCACAGGACAAGCGCAACTCAGGAAACCGGTCAAGTTGTGGTGCCTGACTTTGGTAATACAAAAAAACCGCGAAAATCAGCTGACATTTTGTCTCGTTTTGAGCTTGCCTCATCCACATAATTCCACAGAGATGTTCGAAATAGGTCCTTTTCCCGTTAGCTTTTTGTTCCGGGCAAAGTTGTGGTACCTGACTTGGTGCCACAAAAAGCCGCGAAAACCACTGATAATATTTGGTTGACATTCTGCTCCGTCTTGAGCTTGCCTCATTCACATAACTGCACAGAGATGTTCGAAATAGATCCTTTTTTCGTTAGTTTCTCGTTCAAGGACGTGAAAGTGCTGCGCTTCTTACGAGTACCATTAGCGTAGTATCATCATCTGCTGCGGGGATATCAGCACTACTGTGGCAGGTGGGGAGGGGGAAAGGCGGACCGGGAGGGAGGGGAGTTTATGTTTTGGTTTTGCTCTCCTGGTTACTGAGGAAAATTTTCCTGCTTTAAAAAATTTGTTTTTAATTTTGGTGGGTTTTTTTAGCTGATCGATAATATAGATGAAGCAAATGAATTGGATAGTGGGACTAAAATTACGGATAATGTGATTGCGGAGCCGGAAGCCTCGATCAGCGTTGCACATACCGATGAACCAGGACCAGTTCTGGCAGTGCGGACAGGTTTGTGAATTGGTTTTGAAATGGATCAGTTGTTGGTAAAATTGATAGATGAAACCCTGTGCAAAATGTCACTATATATGGCTGATTACCGCCCGCGCTTTTATGTATGTGTGTTTGTATGTATGTGTGTGTGCCTGTGTGTGTGTGCTCGCGTGTGTGTACGTGTCGTTCCTAGTAATTCACTTTCCCAGAGCCTTATTGCACTAGTGTCCCCAGCCATGATTTAGGTTGTGAAAATCATTCAGCCTTAATTTTCCTGTGTCTGTTTTGGCAGTTAACGCAGATCGATAACCAGACTATTTATTGCCTTTGTTAATTTATAATAGGAAGTTGTAATAAGAAGGAATGAAATAAAGAGAAAAAAAGGAAAAATAAGAAATGACAGTTATAAAATTTGTGTGATTAATACAATGGTAAAGAAGTGTTTCGGTCCATTAAGTCGTACACATTTCTTACCATTACAACAGTTGGACCTTGTCAGTACATAAGTATGGTGTGGAAGAAGGACAGCGTGTAATTTAAGCGAAACTAGCCAGCTTGTTGCTAAGATTTAAGTCGGGCAGATTTTAAATGTCTGTCACAAATCCATTAAGGGATGCAGCTTATTTTAGCGCAGATGCAGTTGAGCAGTTTTTTAGATGAGGATGCTAGCTGGAAGAGGAGATTTCCTCTTTATGAATTTTCAGATTTGCGTGATTCGGAGCGAGATTCTGGTAATGAGGATGACCACTCAGTAACAATATCACCAACTTCGTCGGCAACAAATCACTCATCGGATGTGCCGGAAGGTGAAAATCTGCAGAGTCGTGACACATTTGAAGAGCTGCTCGAGAAACGCCACGATGAAGATGATGATGCTGCTGCTGGGACAAGTGCTGTTGTTCCTGAATTGGAGGACAGCGACAGTGCTGATAATTTGTTTGACTGATGATTTCAAGGTTTATGTTTGTTTTTTGCTCGACAAATAAGGCTCCGTTGCTTGGCTTTTAAGGCTTCTGGTCAAATTATGCTGTAAATTCGATTGATGTTACGGAAATCTTTCCCAATCATTATTTCAAATTGTGGGGTGAGGATGATAAGTAACGGCCATTAGAAGGTCGAATTTTAAGTGGAGGGTCCAAGTGGAGCGGTCGGAGAGGGTTAAATTGATAAATAATTTGCTGCCTTTGGTAGGCCGGATCGTAATTTCCGAAGTAAACA